GCCCACTTCAGCTCACATTAACCAACGCCTCGAGGTTTGCACAAATATTTCCTATAGGATGATTTGAGACCACCGCTTATATTTTGTTTTTGTTTAAGGAAGTTTCACAAATATAGCTTTAACGCTATACAATTGGAAGAATAAAAAAGTTCAGAGGTATTATTACTTTTAACACGCATCAAAAACTATTTATATTTGATACTTAAAAAAGTGTATAAAATTTACATAATTTTTGTGTATAACAAAGAGAATGTGTATATATACAAAAAATATATGAGAAGAATTTTTATACATTTTTCTGACTATTATTTTTATAGTAACTATACAGTGTCATTTTTCCAAAAATTTACGATGTTCAATTATTTATAAGTTTTACCGGACAATCCAAACTTGGTACCATTTAATTATTCACAAGAATTACTGAATGAACAAATTTCGCTTGTGTTATTTATTGTTCACAAGTTTTATTGGACGGCCACAACTTGATACTCTTTCCTAAGTGATTTTTTGGCTTTTTTACATATATTATAGAATTTATTATTTGCATTAATTAACAAAAAAATTAATCATATTAACCTTAATTTGCTCATTGAAAATATAACAAACTGCTCCTAGGATCTTTACTCCATGGACAACTTTGAAAAAAAAGTTCATCTTCTTGATATCTGGAAAAATCAAATATTGTGAATTACAAAAAAAGGGCTAAAAAATCACTTAAAGTAAACCGGAGGAAGTACTACCTTTATTCTAGGTAAATTTGTGTTTTAAGTTTTTATGTTTGGTTGTAATGACGTACTAGTGTAGTAGTGTTTATCAATATGTATCGTCAATTCCAACTTTCTTTCTATCTACGAATACTTTTACGAAATAATAATAGGTTTACTAACAAACATCTCAAAAATAGTAATACGAGTCACATCACTAAAATCTAAACAAAATAACGCGTAATAAAATATGTAAATGTATACTGAGTTTTCATTATTGGCTTGGCATCTCTTTCTTTTGCATAGTCAGGATTATTCAAAAATTATTACTTTTTGAAGGAAAAGGTGTGTCTATTTCTTTTTCTTTTTTCCTATTTAAATTTCTATTTTTTTCTCTCTCTCTATCTTAGAGTCCCACGTGCATCAGCCCATATTGTTGTTTCGATATTCATAGATTAAATGGAATTTGAAATTGAGTCCAAATCAATTGGTTTTAAGTCAAACTAGCTACTTCAACGGTTTTCATATTGCAATTTTGTACTCATGTGAAACTAAATCCCCATAATTTTTTTAAATAAACATATGAATTTTAAATCTCAAATATAATAGAGTATCTTTAAGAATAATGAAACGAAACTTATAAATCCTAATTAATGAGATATTAGAATGTTGGACTCCTAAAAAGAAATAAAATAGAAAAAAGGATAAAGAGAACTACTAATCTCGGGCTGCATAAGAGGTTGTACATTTTACGAGGTGGATGCATGTGCATGTATTATTAACAAACATTCGTCAAAATTTCAGCACGTTTATCGCTAGACATAGGAAGAATCTTGCAGAAAATGACAATAAACTAGCGGAAAAAAAGATTAAAAATGAAAGAAAAATAAAAAGAGAGAGAAAGAAAAGATTGCGTATCTCTAAACAGTAATTAAATAGAATAAAATTGCAGATCATGTAGAAATTAAAGAAACAACAACATCTTGCTGCATGTTCCGTCTTCTAGTTAATTATATAAAGGGCAGTCCGATACACAAGGTATTCCGCGTACACATATGATCCGAGGAAGGGCCGCATTTTAAGGAATGTGATATGTAGACAACGCAACCTAATGCAAGTATTAGTGACTGCTTCCACGGTTCGAACCCGTGAACCTATAGGTTACATGGAGACAACTTTATCGTTGCTCCAAAATTCCCCCTCACTTCTAGTTAATTGGAGTATTATCAATTTTAGCTCGTACTAGAAACTATTTACATTTGGTGGCCGAGAAAATGTATAAAATTTGTATTATTCTTGTATATAACATACATGATATATATATTTATTCGGCTATTATTTTAAGAGCGGCTATACAATGCCATTTTTCCTAGTTAATTAGATACCACAATAAATTAAGAACTTAAATAAATTAAATAGTAATAGCTCTAATAAATTAAGACTTAAACGGACTCATAAAAATCAGATTAAGTGAGCTCCTAATTCACTAAATTTCACTTACAGATTAGGTGAACTTAAACTTATTAAATTAGTTAGAGAAGTAGTTTCATGATTTATCAGATAAAGTCAACTAAAACCAACTAAATCACAGCTAATAGTTCATAGTACTACTAGTTTTTGACCAGCTTCTGTTTTAATTTTATTTAATAATCCTCTGTTTTTTGTTTGTTTGTTTAGTGATAGTTTTCTTTTTGCAAAAAAAGAGGCAAAGATTATTTACTAACTCAGATTGACAAAACAAGAAAAGAAAAGCAGTTGAAATTTCTTTCAAATTCAACAACTCTGCTTCTCCTTCTTACTATATATGTAAGTATCAGTAACCTCATAAGAAGATTAAAAGAGTTTTTTTGAGAGAAGAATATTATGGCAAGTGCAGAAAAAGTAGTACATAAATCATGGGTAGCCCTATATAATTTGCATTCTATTTTAGGAATCCTCCTCTTGGTTTTTCTTTTTATGTCTTTTTATCTTATAGGGGATAGTAATAATGCTGGTAAAATCCTAGCAAATAAGCCTATAAGAAAAAACTCATCTCCAAAACCAAAATGCAATTTATTTTCTGGAAGTTGGGTTTTTGATAATGTCTCATATCCTTTATACAAAGAACAACGATGTTCATTTATGACTGATGATTTTGCTTGTCATAAGTTTGGAAGAAAAGACTCAAAATTTCAACATTGGAGATGGCAACCTCATGATTGTGATCTTCCAAGGTACAAACTCAAAATGTATTTTAATGTATGTATTTTCTTGAGCCGAGGGTCTACCGGAAACAGCCTCTCTACTTCCTCGGGTAGGGATAAGGTCTGCATACACTCTAGCCTCCCCAGACCCCACTTGTAGGATTTTACTGGATTGTTATTGTTGTTGTATTTATGTTATGAAATTGTAGGTTTAATGCCAAAGCATTGTTGGAGAAGCTAAAAGGGAAGAGGGTGTTGTTTGTTGGAGATTCATTGAATAAGAACCAATGGGTTTCTATGGTGTGCTTAATTGAATCCTCTGGAATTCCATCTCTTAAACCACCTATTTGGAAAGGCAACTTGATCACCTTTGAGGTCAAGGTAATTTACTCTTCTCTCTCAACATCTAAGATTTAGTTTACTAGTTACAGATACTGCTCTTGGTTTCATGGATCAATTTGTACTCCATGGAAAGCAAGCCTTTTTTACGATACCGACTACCTTTCACCAGCATAGATAAAAATGTGAATTTTATGATCTAGGTAAGAAACTTAGGGTCGGATCAGGTAGGTGGATCGAAATAAGACCCATTTTTTGCTTTCAGCCCGAGCTTGCCACGTGGCCTAGTAAAAAATGGCCACATCATTAAATTGGCCCAGGGCAATTTTATTAGTAGAATTAACGTCATGTGCTTTTTTGGACGGATATATGGACGTAGGGTATCTGTAAACCATTTAGGAAGCGATAAGGGTAGTTTGGATCCTTTTCCATAAAAAGAATTCGTGAAGCGTTTTTTGTCTTTACTGGAATTTGAACTCTGGTCTCCTATGATTTTTGTTCCACTTTATACTATTAGGCCACATTACTCTTGGGTGGTTAGTCATGCTGTATTTGTTGCATTTGTCTGTCGTTAGAGTTTGTTAGAGATCTCTTTGCTGAAATTGCCTGATTGTTAGGTGGTATATTCAAATAGATGAGAATATTACTAATATCAACTGGCTTATATTTTCTTGCTTCAAGAGAAATAATTGTTCTGTGTGGCTAAAATTTTCATTTTCTAAACATTATGAAGGAATACAATGCAACAATTGATTTCTACTGGTCACCATTGCTAGTGGAATCCAATTGCGATGATCCAGTAAAGCACCGCGTAAGGGACAGAATTATCAGAATTGAGGCAATTGAAAAGCATGCTAGGCATTGGATTGATGCAGATATTCTCATCTTTGATTCCTTCACCTGGTGGCTTGAATCCCAAATGACACTTCTGTAAGTTTAGTTCACCAAAATAAACACTCTTTTAGAATTCACAGTCTATACCAAGCATTTCATATTTGGATTTAAGTGAACACTAAGTCACCACTTTTTATCACGTCGCCTTACAGGTGATCTGAGTGTATAAATATTTTTGATATTGTCAAGTGTATTGAACTTAAACTATACGTATTTCCATGCCAACTTTACACAGGTGGGGATCATTTGAAAGCTCTGATGCAATCTACAAAAGAGTTGGAATGAAGCTGCGCCGTTACGGCATGGCCTTAAGAACATGGTCAGATTGGTTGGAATTTCAAATTGACAGAAAAAGGACAAGATTGTTTTTCATGAGCCTCTCTCCTCCTCACAGAAAGTATGATAATGACTATGTTGTTTGTCCAACATAAATCTAAGTTCTTTTTGTATAAAATGAAAGATTGATTTTTTGTTTTGTTTTGGTATATGCAGTGCTACAGATTGGGGCATGGGAATTGGTGAAAATTGCTATAATGAAACAGAACCGATATCAAGAAAACAGCATTGGGGAAGTGAAAATGATGTAAAGATGATGAAAATAGCCGAGGAAGCTGTAAATGGGCTGCAAAAAAGGGGTTTAGATATACAATACCTTAACATAACACAGTTATCAGATTATAGAAAAGATGCACATCCATCAATTTACAAGAGGAATTGGGTTGCACTAACAAAAGAAGAATTATTAAATCCAAGAAGTTATGCAGATTGTGTCCATTGGTGTCTTCCTGGTGTTCCTGATATTTGGAATCAGATTCTGTATGCCTATATCATGGAATCCACAAAAGAAAAGACTAGAGATTTTTCTGTGTGAAAATATTGTGAAACTGTACAACAACAACAACAACAACAAGAAGAGATTTTTCTGTGTGAAAATATTGTGAAACTCTACAACAACAACAACAACAACAACAATAAATTCAGTATAATCGCATATAGTGGGGTCTGGGGAGGGCAGTATGTACGCAGCCTTACCTCTACCTTGTGGAGATCGAGAAACTGTTTCTAATATATCCTCGACTCAGAGAAGTATAAGCACCACGTTAAAAAAAAGAAAAACAAGAAGCGCAACAACGAGAAACCATATAAAAGCAAACACAAACTAACTAGTATTTCATAACCAACTAGTGGATATTGGTGCATTAAGAAAAAAGAGACATTATAAAAGAGGAATCCAATTGGCTACTGCCAACCAACTAGTATTTCATAACCAACAACTAGTTTTCATTATCATCCCATATATCTAATAGCAACGAAAAAAGGAGCAGCTCTGTGCATAAAGAATTCTGCATTCACACAAGGTCTAGTGAAGGGCCGTATCTTAAGGGGTATGATGTAGACAGGTTAATTGAGTTAAATCTGGACGGGTCAAATCAATAAACAGGGTCATAACTTAATCCATCAGAAGTATGATTGTGTGGATATAATAACCCAAACTCGTCCAATATGAGCTCACCTCTCCCTTTTTATTTTCCAAAGTAATTTTCATCTCAAAATTGATTTTGTATGCCTAGGTTTGGGATGGATTTTGACCCGTCTGTATCCATTTTGACCCGTTATTCTGACAGGTCATTTCTAATTCCATCAAGTGAATAGACAGTAATAACTCAGCAAGTAGAATCGTCTATTGTTTCTAGTGGTCATCATTAATAGCACCAGAAACAAATTCTAAAGATACAGGATAGCAGGAGTCCCAAGCAGAAGGAATTAGATAGATGCAGTTATTCTGTACTTCAATTCATATGTTTGGTGGCTAATACCTAAAGTGAAGGTTCTCTAAGTACATTCATTTTCAAATCGTAATGTCTAAGGAATTGGTGATAGAACCGAAAATTTCTCCTCAATGTACAGACTTTTTCTTGTCTAAAGGAACTTTCACGGTTTGAGGAAGATATGTTAGGTGTGATGATGATATGAGTTAAGCTTAAGTATAGATGTGAGAACTCATATCGCATTATCACCGATCCCAACTTGTTTGGGACTAAGTTGTAAAATTCCTTATTATTATGAAGATACTGTGGATTAATGTCATTGTAACACTATCTGATCCAAAAGACTTAACCTAGGATTGCTCGTAGGTTACAAGGTGTCAAGTCTCGGTCCATGAGACCGAGCCTAGATGTAGCCCACCACATGGTGAACCAGGTAACAAAAGCCACAACCGGAATGAAAGGTAGCACACCTAAGAAAATTAGTTGATCTGGTACATCAAATGCACGCTACTAAGTCCATTCCGATCCTGTTTAAACCTCAGGTTGTTTTGACAAGTTTTAAATTTTAGTGCAGGCAAGGAAGCATCATTTTCAATTATTACTTGTTGGATCGGAGCGTAGATGAGCGAGCAGAGCCAAGGAAAGAGATAGAGCAATCAACTAGAAGTAGAGGACTGTTTGCCTGAGAGAAGGCACAGTAATATGCTACATAATTGATGGAGATATATAATTTTCCACGTCAGTAGTTAAGTGGTGTATAAAGGTACTGTTTCACTCATCGTCTTTATGAATACTCAGATTCCTTCATATTAGCTATGAGATAATAAGAACTTGGTAACATTGTCTTGAAATCCCTCTTTAATTCTATCGAAATATTATTTCATTAGTGTGTCTCCAACTCGTGTTGAGGACCTTTTATTTGCCTCTATTGCGTCCTCTTTGGAGAGAGTCAGCTGGATGCTAGCTCTTCACATTGTACATCTGAATTACAAGTTTTATGATATTGCCAAAGCAAGAGTAGTTGGTTAAAACAATGAAATGATTCACTAATGTTTTGTGCGTAATCATGACATAACTTTTCATGTTACTTCCCCTTGCGACACGATTGTTGCTTGTTCTTCTATATGAAAAATCAGGTCCAATGATTGATTTGCTTAATCAGTTAAGGACCTTTAGCGCGAAATATAATGCAGGGGCAATGAATTTGGAATGACCAAAAAATGGAAATTGCTGCAATGAATCACAGCCTGTAACTATAGAATACTATTGACGAAGTAATCAATCTTTGATGAAAATAGTATTTTAGCAAAGTCTGGATAAGACATATGAGGGTTGAAGAAATGCTGAATATAAGCAACTCTCGGATTTCAGAAAAGATGATCATTCAAGTACCTATTAAAAACCAAATCTTTCTTAAATTGGAAATAGTTTCTTCCTTTTCTGCAGAATGTAAGATTAATGAATTCTTAGGTAAAGAAACAAAAAAAAGATTCTAATACACAAGCAAATCAACAAGTCAATAGATGGACCAATCTATTTTTTAGACACATCCAGGTTTTAATTATCATTAAGAACATACTTTGATCATAGACAATAAGCAGATATCAATCTTAGCCGTGCTTCGATTTAAACATCATTATCAGCTGTCTACAAAACTATGCCTGACTGAATCGTTATCGACCAAGAGTCTTCAAATCATTCCTTTTTCTTATTGTCACAAACACAAATACATAATGCAGATATGGCTGATGAACAGAATACAGTATCCTCTCATAACACTCGTCTTTTTCCTCTTCGTATTCTTCTCCATTTTATATAATGTAGAAGACCCCTTTTTCAATGGTGTTACATTGTCATCCAAGAAAGAACCTTTATCGAAATCTAGTCATAATGAAAGCCTCACCATCCCAAGAAATACTCCAGGTCAGTGTCCAAAAAACTTTTGGTATCGTCAAAATTATATATATTTTTTCAAACTTTTT